TATATCACTCACTTTCGATTTGCCGACGATATACTCCTTATGGCAGAATCGCTGGAGGACCTTAGCACTATGCTCAATGACCTCAATGGTGTCTCCCAACGGATAGGTCTTAAGATGAATATGGACAAAACAAAGATCATGTTCAATGTCCATGTCACACCTATGCCAGTAGTTGTTGGGAGCACTATGCTCGAAGTTGTTGACGAGTACGTATACCTGGGACAAATAGTCCGACTAGGTAAGTTCAACTTCGACCGAGAGGTCAATCGACGGATTCAACTCGGCTGGGCAGCGTTCGGGAAATTACGACACATCTTCTCGTCAGGTATACCTCAATCTCTGAAAACTAAAGGGTACAACCAGTGCGTGTTGCCAGTGATGACTTACGGATCAGAGACGTGGTCCTTCACTGCTGGCCGTATGAGGATACTCAAGGTCGCTCAGCGAGCTATGGAGAGGGCTATGCTCGGAGTTTCTCTGCGTGGTAGACTCAGAAATGAGGATATCTGCAGTAAAACCAGAGTGACCGACATAGCCCAACGAATTAGTAAGCTGAAGTGGCAATGGGCCGCCCATATAGCTCGAAGAACCGATAACCGATGGGGAAGAAAGGTTCTCGAGTGGCAGCCTCGTACCGGTAGGCGTAGTGTAGGGCGACCCCCCACTAGATGGAGTGACGACCTGGTAAGACATGCAGGAAGTCGATGGATGCAGCCGGCTCAGGACCGTGCTTTGTGGCGTTACTTGGGGGAGGCCTATGTTCAGCCTATGTTCAAAGTCGTATACTACTAGTAATATATTAAGAAAACAAAATAAAAAGACTTTGGCAATATAAGGAACACTTTGAAAAATCAACTTAAAAAAGCGCTTGAAATTTGAGTTGAAACTACAGAGCGACTTAATAAAAACGTGGTAACATGATTTGTCTTCACTTATAATAATGTAAACTTAATTTGACCGCAATTTGTGTAAGCGCTTAGTAAATCTGGCCTTTTAATTATCCTCATTAACGAAACGAAACGCAGTATTGTGCTAGTGTGAAAATACATGTGGTAAAATTAAAAATTTTGAACAAACGACTTCAATTTAATTATATAGTTAAAACGAGAATATTCGAAGTCAATTAAATACGCATTATTGAAGATAATTCAAAAACTATGGTCAGCTCTTAATTAAATTTATTTGGGACCACGCGAGAAGCACCAGCCTACTGATAAAACAATAATCATCGAAATCGGTTCACCCAGAGAAAAGTTATGAGGTAACACATTTAAAAAAACATACAGTCGAATTGAATACCTTCTCTTTTTTAAAGTTCGTAAATTAAATGAAATGAAATGGAATGGAAAATTATTCTTCGACGCAGATAATAAAACATCATTAGTCAAATGTTTTTTTTTTAATCTGCTACCATTTCGTAATAGAGGTTCCTCTGACCAGCCTCAACTACCTCGCTGATAGTGTCCGTAAATGTGACTGCTGATCGTAACCCGGGACGGGTTTGTATATCCCGGGTCGGGACATAATCAGTTACTCGGTAGCAACCCGGAGTCTAGAAGTTAGCTATGTTTCACCCCCGTGCCTCGGAAAGATCGTAAAGTAGTTGGTCCTGCGCCTGGTCTCTCTTCGATCGTGTTGGATTACCGTCCTATCATATTAAGAAAGTGAGTGAATATAGAGTACACATGTGCTTGCACATACACTTGGGTACTATAATCCTGTCCTGCGCAGGTGACTAGTCTCCGCTGAAACAGGCCGCTTGACCGCCGACTAGAGATGAAACAGATAAAGAAACTCCGCAGTTATCCTCGAATTTGGTTGCAGCACGAATGGGTCGGCTCGACTGAGGAAGGGCTACGTTCTCACAGAATACCAACGTAAAATAGCAGCTTAATACTGCTGTTTCGTATAGACAATGTAGAGATCTGGAGACCCTCTTTTACTGAAAATGAGGCATTGCATCTTAGACCTCAGGGGTGACAACGCATCTGCGTCTTAGTTCTTAATCGAGGATAAATGTAGATGTTTATGGGCCACACCATCCACTTACTTTTGTTGACTGTGTGCTCGTTTGTTATCCTTAATATATAAAAAAGGTCACGCTTGGCGTTGCTCACTATCAGTTCATGAAGATATAGTCATTACTATCGAATCAGCCATTCCGAAATTAAATCTGGACAGACAGAAAAAACTTTAAAAATACTCATTAATGTCTTAATGGCATTAAAACAACCCCCTCACCTTAATAAAAGTCAGTAATTTCGTTTTATTAAAAACAGACACTTTAATTTTATTTACATGTATTGATGTAGTATTGACATTAATGTAAAAAAACCATTAATATTATAATTATATACAGGAGGATCGTGATCAGTCGATTCGATGAAATATTCCACGCTTCGTTAAGTACATTGAAGTAAACAAGGCTTTAATGTAAACAGAGTTATATTTTTTTTATTATAACAATTAATGATAATATTAATGTCCTCCAGACCGAATTTCGAATGCGTCACGGCAGCTTGCCTCAACGGAGACTAGCCATCGGCGCAGGACAGGATTATAGTGCCCAGGTGTGCGCGCAAGCACAGGTGCACTCTCTATTCCCTCACTCTCATGGTCCGATGGGACGGTAAACCGACACGACCGGAGGGGGATCAGGCGCAGGACCAACGGTTTTACTTGCTTTCCTAGGCCCAGGTATGAGACACCGCTAACATCCTGACACCAGGCAGCTACTGCTAATTTCTTAACGGAAAAACTCAATAATTGATTTTTGACCCAACCCGTGATTCGTACCCGGGACCTCGTGATCAATAGTCGCACTACTACAACCACTAAACCAACGAGGCAGTCAATTAACTGTACCAGAGAAATAAATTAAAGAAAAAGACAGGCAGTCGATGATGAAGGTGGCTCAATACCATACTTTGTGACAATATATAGACAGGACTATCTTCAGCATTGGACTTTTGCTAGTAGTAGTATTTATGTTTGTATGTATGAAGAGCTTCAACTTCTTTATAATATATCTCATCTGAATAAATAAATCATTAACGCATCTTAGTGTAAAATTCATGGCCACTACCGCAATTATTATGTTTTTATACTCAGATTTTTTTATGTTATCAGCTAGTAAGATTATAAGCATTTCTGATATTATTCTCCACAAGCATAAAATTTCTTAGATTATATATATATAATTATAGTCGTATAGTCTTAACAAGTACATTTATTATATATACCCGTGTAAATAGGTCCCCCACTAAATGGAGTGGCGACCTGGTAAGATATGTAGAAAGTAGATGGCTGCAAGTGACTCAGGACCGTGCTTTAACCTATCTACTAAGCATAGTAACTATGATGCAATCTAAGCATAAATCGATAAATAGATAACACTTTATTGCACGCCAAAAAACATAAATATTAACAAAAAAGGAGAGAAATAAATGTGATACAATAGGCGGTCTTATCGCTAAGAGCAATCTCTTCTCCACACACTTCGGATGGAGAGGATTGTAAGAAAACAATAAAAACATTATGTGTGGTTTGGTAAATAAAATAACATTATTTTATTTATAAACCATAAAATAGAAATAGAAGAGTGTGGTTTGCAAGATGATGCGGTGACCAGGATTAAGAAAGGAATGCTTCGGTGGTTTGGTCATGTAGAAAGAATGAATGTGGAAAGACTGACAAAGCAAATATATGTTGCAGAAGTGAATGGAAGAGTCGGAAAGGGACGTCCTAGGCGGAAGTTTGTCGACCAAATTGGCGATATACTAAAAATGGGCCATATTAAGAGTACCCTTAACCGACGAGCATGTATGCGTAGGTATATGGATATGGAAGAGGCGAGAAAGGTATGTCAGGATCGTGCTAAATGGAAGTCTGTAGTCTCTGCCTACCCCTCTGGGTGACAGGCGTGAGTGTTTATGTTATGTTATGTAAAATAGAAATAAAGATGCGTAATACAAAATGATATGTAAGTACCTAGATAAGATAAATACGTACATACTTATACATACATACTATTTTTTTGTATATATAATGTATATATATATATATATATATATATATATATATATATATATAGTGTGTGTGTATACAAATTATAAATATAAATAACTAAAAGTATAAGGCATATTCTATCAATAAGAAAATGTAATTCTTGATTGGCTTTTTTTAAATAATCTAACATTTCTTGCAGACTATATTATTATCATTTTTCTTATGTTTATTTCCACATCGCTGCGCTGAAAAACTACTTACAACCTCTAGTTTTAATGCGTAGTTACTGCATTTACTGTATTGACAGTGAAAATTACATGATGCTTTATTTACTGAAAATAGTTTTTCTGTGAACACGCACAGGATCGCCCCCGTCATCAGATTTGATAGACCGCAAATCCTTGCTAAAAACACCGATTCCTTCCAAGGCTATTGAAATCAAACAACATCCTAACTTTAATATAGAAGTTATCTGGGTCTACTACCTGCTTGGGATCCTATAATTAATAAAATAAAATCCCGACCCATTGTATGCTTACCACTGCAAGATTGCAAGATACTATAAGTTTGTACTGCATAGATCGGAACAAAAACTAATTTCAAAAAAAATACAAATTAAAAATAATAATAATAATCTGGAGGTAGACGTGGTTAACTATGATAATGGGACGTCGAACGCCTCAAACTCCCACGTTACCACGGGTGTTGTAAAGTGCTCGAATATAAAATAACTTAATGTACGTAATAAAATTCCATAAAAATTAGTTTTATTTAAATAGTTTCCTCAGTATATTTTCAGCTTTGACATACGTTGCAGATGAGAAGATGATGGTGTTTACTCATCACTTAATCTCTCTTTACTTATCACTTAATCTCGTTCGAGTCTCATCTAAATAAATCAGGGATAGGCTATAATACTATCAGGCTAAGCACGTGAAGCGTAACCACTACAGCCAAAATTTCGCAATTTAAAAACCAATGGATTATCTTACCTGAGGCATGTATCCTATCCTGGGGCCAGGCACTCCACTTCCACGTCCTCCTGGTGTGCCACCAAGCACCCAAATTTCTCCACTGTTCAGTCTACGTCTGCCCACGATGCAAGAGAGTAGTGTTGTCTTTCCACAACCTGATGCACCAAGAAGGCCATAACTGTCGAAAAAATTATAGAATTGTGAGAAAATCAACAACTTAGAACTTTAGAACGCCTAGTGATTCTAGTCACTGTCACGTAAAGTGATTTAAACATAAAATTACAATGAACGAGTAGTAAAATTAAAAATTTTGTACAACCGAATTCAATACGACCGTATTAGAGGTCAATTAAACATGCATTATGATTTCTTAAATTTACGGAACATAATAATTAAACGCGATAAAATCCGTAAATAATAGTTTTATTTAAACATGCATTATTAAAGATAACTCAAAAACTGCTAATCAAATCTTAATTAAATTAATATGAGACCATACGAGAAGCACCAATTTCAGATAAAAAAAGAAAAGAATCATCAAAACCCAGAGAAAAGTTATAAGGTAACACACATTAAAAAAAAACATATAGTCGAATTGAAAACCTCCTCCTCCTTAAAGTCGGTAAAAAATCAGCTCACAGAGTGTAATTCTTGAGTGGTGAGTAGCTAGCTAGAGAATTTATTGTAAGACTTTCTTTTAATAAAATTGGAGTTGCAAATGACCTTATACTACATAATGGTAAATGGATTTATATAGAACAAGTAGGACCGATGGGAAGTGGATGCTGTGGCCCATACAATACAATACAATACAGGCATCAAGGACTTAAAAATTAAGAACATTGGCCCATAGCAATATATACCTTAACCTAAAAATATATATAAAATATAAATATAACACTATTTAGGGAACTTTCTTCTTTGGCGCGTCCCTGTATCGGCGAAACACTACCCCAGAGGGCAAGAAATCGGGAGCAAGGAATGTCTCTTTGTATTTTGCAGGAACCTGGAGTACGTAGGATTACATCCATAGACATCTATTGCATTGTCACCCTTGGAACTCAAATAGAATGCCTCGTTTCCAGTGAAATCATCTCCGTATCTCTCGTTAACACTACCCTCTTGCTTATATTTGACGATAAATGCCAGTTTCTGCAATTGCCGTGTTACTGTCTAAAGCACAGATTAAATAATGTTACAACGTAATCTATACGTGTTAGAGCCATGCTGCAGTTATATTGGTAGTATAGTTGTAGCACGAATGGGTCGGCTCGACTAGGGAAGAACCACGCTATCACAGAATACCGGCGTGAAATAGTAGCTTAATGCTGCTGTGTTTCGTATGGTGAGTGTACGTGTAAACGAGGCATTCCACCTAAGTCCTCACGGGTGACAACGTATCTGCATTTCGTTTCGTAATTGAGGACAGATGTAGATGTATCTGGACCACAGCAAACACTTACCATCAGGTGGACTGTGTGCTCGTTTGTCACCCTATTCTATAAAAAAAAAGAATACCGGCGTGAAATAGTAGCTTAATGCTGCTGTGTTTCGTAAGGTGAGTGTAGAGAACCAGAGACCCTGTTTACTGGAAACGAGGCATTTCATCTTATTCCTCACGGATGACAACGCATCTGCATTTTGATTCATAATCGAGGATAGATGTAGATGTCTATGGGCCACAGCAACCACTTACCATCAGGTGAACTGTGTGCTCGTTTGTCACCTTATGCTATAAAAAATGGTAAATTAATTTATATAGCATAAGTAGCATTGATTGGAAGTGGATCCTGTGTCCCATAGACATCTACAATCGAAATGCAGCTACGTTGTCATCCCTGAGGACTCAAATAGAATGCTTCGTTTCCAGTAAAAACATCTCCGGTTCTCGACGGGTAAACACCACTATGCTCACAGCTTTTTCTTATTATCTCACTTTGCTCTTGCTTATTTTTGGCGCTAAATACCAGTTTCTGCACTGATGTGTTACGGTCTAAAGTACAGATTAACCCTTCAAGCGCCATAAAAATCCCATGCAGTCGCATGCGCCCGGCAAATCCTGAGCGGTCGTATGCGACCGCACCCACCTACAGCATTTAAAACCATTAAAACTTATATTTCAAGACTACTTTTCTATGAAGAAGTTTAGCATTCTAAAAACTATACAAAATTCTCTATCTTGTGGTCTCAAATCAGGTTTTACTTCATTAAAAAAGATTTTATTGTATTTTGATAACAAAAACACACACCAAGCGAATGTCGGCAGGGTGAAAATCACAATTATTTTAATATGTGTTATTCGAAATTATTTACGTAAAAGGATAAATTATATTCACACAAAAACTTTCATTATAATTTTATAATAAAACACTATAGAACTCATCTATAAAATCTAAAACTACTACTACTAACTAAACTATAGAAAAATCCAAAAATAAGCACAATAACATTCACGTGAAAATGGCGTACGAAATAACCGTAGATTATAAATAAATATTCATAGGATAATAGTTTTTTTATTACGCTAGAGGATAGAATATTTCATATTGATTATATAATGCCAAATTCTTCACAGAAAAGTAGTATCTATATATAAGTTTTTATGGGTTAAAGTGCTGTGTGTAGGTGCGACCTCTTGAGACCGCCAGGGATTTGACGGATAATGGCTGCGGTCTCATGAGACCGCTAGAGGGTTGAGAGGTTAAATAATGTTACTACATAATCTAAAGTGTATAGAGCACTAGTATAAATATAGGCATTCCATCTTAGTTCCCAGGTTCCAGACGCCTGCCGACTTCATTAATTACTTCATTCGTGGTAGAGCCATGCAGCAGCTATATTATGGTTATAGCATGAATGATTCGGCACGACCGGGGAAGGAACACGCTCGCACAAAATACCAGCGTGAAATAGCAGCTTCATTTTTGTGTTGCGTACGTTGAGTTTAGAGAACCGGATACTTTGATACTTAATCGAGGATAGATGTAGATGTCTGTGAACCCCAGCATCTACTTACCATCGGGAGGATTCTGTACTTGTTTGTCACCATTATTCTACGAAAAATAAAAAAATAAAGTGCGTATAACACTAATGAGCTGTTTGGTTAAGCCATTAGTCACGTAAAGTGCTCATTACAACTATTAATTTTACATAAATGCGTTTATAATGTCCCAACGTCAGATTCATACATCCAGTTTTTTATAAATATTACTTAATCACTTTATAAGAAATTAGCTCGTAATATTTTTAAATAAAAAATTCTTACCGCCAGAACCTTTTTTATTATTAATCGCTTATGTGGTTGATGTTGCCAAAATACAAGTATTTCTGACTTCCCGGTAAGAAAATTGAAAATTTTCAAAAATCGGCAAGATATTCTTTTTAACCCGTTTTTGAAAAATTGAGTTTTTCAAAAACGTCAAATCATCAAATCTTGACGTTTTAGAGTCACAGGAAGCCACCCTGACAATTTTTCCATGGTGGCTGTAAACCTCTTATAACTGTTGAACGGCTAGACCAATTGAAATGAGTTAAGCGGATTTCCAAAGTGTTTCATCAAACATTCCTATGAATTTTAATTAATTCGGACCGGTAGATTTTGAGAAATCTTATAAATAAAAATTTTGAAAATCTGCTTTTTTTGGAATAACTTTTAAACGGCTTTACCGATCGATTCCAATTCATCAGCTTTTAACCTTGGAAAACCACGTCGATCGTCGTCAGTCCGGTCAAAATCCGTTGATTGGTTCGTGAGATATAAGTTAAGGGAATTTTTTGAATAAATTATTTTTTAAAATTACCACAATATTTCATATTCAACGTCATAATTGGGTGCAACGCTCCGTGGCGCAGTGGCTTAGCAATGAGTGGCTGCGCTGGGGGTCGCGAGTTCGAATCCCGCACGGAACAAGTATTTGTATGACCTACAAATAGTAATTGTTCCGGGTCTGGATGTTTCTCCTTGCGCCATTTATGTTTGTAAACTGCCCCCACGATACAGGAGAAAATCCTAGTGTAGGGGTAACGTTTTAAAAAAAAAACAAAGATATTTGGAGCGCTTTGCATTTGTAATTAGCGGGAAGTTCCGGGGATGGCCTGCAGGGTGAACCAATTTTATTTAATTTGATTTATAAAATTTCAGTGACAAACTAACTTACAGTCGACCTGATGGACAGTGAATATTGCGACCCAAAGACACCGCAATATCTATCCGCGATCAAGAATCACAATTCTGCATCATTTATCACCTCTGCGAACTAAGTTACAGTATGTCACAGTAAATCTTTCTCTATCGACACTCTCGCTGTCTCGACACTCGTTATACACACGTTCTAAATTTTTTACAACCAACTTCAATATAAATAAAATGAGAACATCATCAATGTAGTCTAGGTCATAATGATTTCTTAAATTTACGCGAACACTACACATTGAATAAAACTAAATTTACGGATTTTATCGCGTTATTTCACTACTTTTTTTTTACTTATTTTTAATTCCCGACGTTTCGGGTGGGTGGGGAGTCCCCCCCGTGAGCATGGTTGCTGTAAAGCACCCGAAACGTCGGGAATTAAAAATAAGTAAAAGTAGTGAAATAAACGCGATAAAATCCGTAAATTTAGTTTTATCAGTCAATGAGTACATCTAGGTCAATGTAATTATCAAGGATAACTCAAAAATACTGCTCAGATCTTGACCAAATTTATATGGGAACACATGAAAAGCACCAGCTTTCGAATGAGAATAATCATCAAAATGGGTTCACCTCGAAATGAAAACCTCCTCCATTTTTTAAAGTCGGTTGAAAACACAGAAACCTTTTTTTCCGCTCTCATCATCCTATTTACGTTTTTACACAATTCATCTTGGGATTTGAGACAATATCCATGGTGTAAAGGAAATGTTATTAATGTATATGTTATGTAAGTATCGTTCAATAATATAAAATGTTATTGAACGATACTTACATAGCTCCTTTTGGTACGGTCATATTTAACCCGTCAAGAATAACATTTGGATTCTTCTTAGGTCCATAATTTACGTTTTTACACAATTCGTCTTGGGATTTGAGACAATATCCATCGTGTAAAGGAAATGTTATTCGTAAAAATGATATTGAACGATACTTACATAGCTCCTTTTGGTACGGTCATATTTAACCCGTCAAGAATAACATTTGGATTCCTCTTAGGTCCATAATTTACGTTTTTACACAATTCGTCTTGGGATTTGGGACAGTATCCATCGTGTAAAGGAAATGTTATTCGTAAAAATGATATTGAACGATAATTACATAGCTCCTTTTGGTACGGTCATATTTAACCCGTCAAGAATAACATTTGGATTCTTCTTAGGTCCATAATTTACGTTTTTACACAATTCATCTTGGGATTTGAGACAATATCCATGGTGTAAAGGAAATGTTATTCGTAAAAATGATATTGAACGATACTTACATAGCTCCTTTTGGCACGGTCATATGTAACCCGTCAAGTATAACATTTGGATTCTTCTTAGGTCCATAATTTACGTTTTTACACAATTCGTCTTGGGATTTGAGACAATATCCATGGTGTAAAGGAAATGTTATTCGTAAAAATGATATTGAACGATACTTACATAGCTCCTTTTGGCACGGTCATATGTAACCCGTCAAGTATAACATTTGGATTCTTCTTAGGTCCATAATTTTTATGAGCACGCCTCACGCACACGGCCTGTTGCCTTCTAGAAGCAACTGTTGACTTCTGCGACCTCAACTGCCTCATTCTTCTAGCATTTAACTGTTCTTCTATCGTGTTGACAGCACTGGCCTCCCCAACATCCCGTACATCTTCCAATGATATGGTAGCGCCTTCATTATCGTACGCCGGCATTTTTCCTGTAACAAAAAGTTGTATGCATGTAATATGTATATTTGAAAATTTTAGAATCATCAACCCCGTATTTTTTATAGTATAAGGGTGGCAAACAAGCACAATGTCCATCTGATGGTAAGTGATTGCTGTGACTCATAAACATACGTCTATTCTCGATAACGAGTCAAAATGCAGATGCGTTGTCACCCATGAGGACTAATATGGAATGCCTCGTTTCCAGTAAAAAGGGTCTCCGGTTCTCTACACTTACCATACGAAACATAGCAGCATTACGCTTCAGTTTTATGCTGGTATTCTGTGAGAGCGTGGTCCTTCCCCGGTCGAGCCGACCCATTCGTGCTACGACCATAATGTAGCTTCAGCGTGGCTCTACCACGTAAATACAATTACAGAACAAAGATTGGTTATAATCAGGTTCCCAATTTGTACTGTTCTTATTCGCAAATTATGATGTAAAGTATGTGCAGTGTCGGAATATAAGACAGTTTTCTTCAAATTGAATACAAAGAAAGAATTTTTATTCTACAAATTGGAAGTTAAATATATATTATTATATTATTTTATGAAGATTACAGCTATGTTATTTAATACTTCGTAGTTAAATACCGTTAACGTAAAAATAAAATATATGATTATTAAAGTAAATTTTAATTTATATTTATATTCGAAATAGATTTATTGTTATAGCATAAAGGGACAAAAGAGTACACAGTCCACCTGATGGTAAGTGTGTAAAATTATTATTCATAAATACCATATTATTTGTTAATTTATACATATAAATAAAATTTATTGTAAAACGGGCTTCTATTAAACTCAGAAGGTTATTCGCATGTTATTTAAAAATAAACTATCTGTTTTTTAAATATCTGTCTGTCCGGCTAATCTTCGTAATGGCTGAACTGATTGAGACGAAACTCAACGAACAGATGAAGACCAAAACCAAGAGGGATCCAGGCTATATATTATCTTTAAACTAAGTTATCATTATATTAAAGATAACATATAAAGATAATACATATTATTAATAAAATCGAAACTCACCATCTACTACACCACCAACACCATCATCAGGCCTGTTGTGACTTACGCCTGTGAAACCTGGACTTTAACCCAGAGAGACGAACTGAAGCTTGCCGTGTTCGAAAGGAAAGTGCTGAGAGAAATCTATGGCACCATAAAAGAGCGTGACGGTGTCTATCGTCAACGCATGTACAATGAACTGGACGCACTTATCGGGCACGAGAACATCGTCAGGTTCTGTAAGTCGCAGCGACTGAGGTGGGCGGGTCACCTTGAAAGAATGCCGGACACACGAACCGTAAAAATAATGACAAAGTGGACGCCGCAACAAAAGAGACCGAGAGGCGGGCCTAAAAAGCGTTGGAGTGACTGTGTGGAAGAGGATCTCAGGAAGATGGGAAAGTTTACCTCCTGAAAGAGGGTAGCCAGGCAGCGTGACAACTGGAGGAAGATTGTGGAGGAGGCCAAGACCCACAAACGGTTGTAACACCAACGGAAAGAAGGATGGAACTCATGTAAAAAAAATAAGTGACGCGACTATAGTTCATACCTACGCTAGAATACGGTAGGTTTTTTTTATAGAAGAGGGGGCAAACGAGCATGCAGCCCACCTGATGTTAAGTGACTACCGCCGCCCATGATCAACCGCAACACCAAGGGAAATGCAGGTGCGTTGCCGGCCCTTTAGAAAGGAGTAAGCTCTTTTCTTGAAGGTCCCCAGGTCGTATCGGTCCGGAAAAATCGCCGGTGGTAAACTATTCCACAGAGAGGTTGTACGCGAAAGAAAACTCCTTGGTGCTATAATCAAGTAATAAACAAATTCTATATTAATGGAGCAAAATCGCCCATTAGATCCATTACTACCTGTAAATGTGCACTGCTAAAAATTTGCCTCCTCTACAGATCTCCTCACAGAAAAAAAAATTACGTGGTAGAGCCACGCCGCAGATATACTATGGTTGTAGCACAAGTAGGTCGACTCGAACGGGGTAGGACCACGCTCTCACAGAATACCAGCGTAAAATAGCAGCTCGATGTTGCTGTGTTTCGTATGGTGAGTGTAGAGAATCTGAGACCCGTGTTACTGGAATCGAGGCATTCCATATTTGTCCTCAGAGGTGACAACACATCTGCATTTTAATTGTTAATCGGGGTTAAATGTAGATGTTTATGCGCCACAGCATCCAGTTACCATCAGGTGGACTGTGTGCTCGTTTATATTGTGTCGTCGTTTATTCTATAAAAAGGAGGGGTTTCGCCAAAGTTGCTACCTTTGGCAGACGGGTTGACAATTGCAGTTTTCTATTCTTTTGAATTATTATTAAGAAGATACTGCTGTTATTGTCCTGCTTCAGTTTCCCTTTATCGCCTCGTACGAGCTACCGGACAATATGGGTTCATAAATATTCTAAAATCGATATAACACCAATGACTCAAATTCACAATATACGAGAAAGATATGCAGGAAGTCAATGGATGCAGGTGGCTCAGGATCTATAGAATACCTTTGGGGTAGCCTATGTTCAGCAGTGCACTTTGTGAAGAGCTGTAATGATGATGATGATCGTGATTAACAAAATAATAATATGTTAGCTTATACCGCATGTTAGTTAGCGCCAAAAAAGAAAATCACAAAATCTGGACCCGATATGTGGCGTTATGGTTACATTCACCAAATTAAGCAAAGTCGCGGGAGAAAGCCAGTGTTGTACAAAATATTAAAAACACATCTCCTCTTTATAAGGTATTGTTTATTTATCAGAAACTAAATATCTTTCAACCTACGTAAGTGAAGTAGCCACAGAAATAGTAACAATAAGACAATATTATTACGATTTCTGTGGAAGTAACACGTATTTTTATCACCTATAATAAACAATCTTCCGTCATCATACACATGTTTTTGTTATCTATACAAATATATAAAATTGAAATGTTTATGTGTAATGTCAAAATAACAGCTTCTTACTATGAGAGTAGGTACCTATATAAGGTACGTATAACAAACATACAATTTTTAAAATCTGTTTTTAATTTTGACGGGTCTTTCAATGGCAGATAGCCGATGTTATATGGAGTAACTTAGATCTCTTATTTTATAAAAAGGATTAGGATTCAACATTAAAAAAATTAAAATCCACGAAAACCTATAGTAATAAATTCCACGCGGATGTAGTCGCAGGGAATTATAACTCAATCTTTGAGCATAATCACTATTAATAAGCGTGTACTTTAAATTAAATGTTTACGTCAGAAGTACTTCAGAATAAAAACCCCATGTCGTATCACCTCTACTATTGGAACAGGTTAAATTGCGTTGATGAATAATTACGAACGGTATGTTATTTTTAGTCGAATTCAAAAGAATGGAGGAGGATCTCAATTCGACTTAAAGTTTTTTGTATGTATGTTACTATTCGATATCTTCATCAAAAGCGAACCGATTTTAATTATTCTTTTTTAACTTCCCTCTTTGAAAATTAATAATTTTCAAAAGTAGTTATAGATTTCGGTCCGATTTTGAGAATGCGAGTTTTCATCAGATCTCCACGTTTTTAAGTCCAAGGAAGTTGTTCCGACTATTCCCAGATAAGCAATCGGCCGTGTGTGTGTTTGTGTGTACGTGCGTGTGTGTGAATAAAATTTCATCTTACGATATCTTCAGAACGAATCAAAGCGAAAATGTTCATTAAGACTTCGAGCTGATTAGATTTTCAAGTCAATCATTCGAGCCGTTTCAGAGATTTTCAAAAAATAAAAACCGAAGAAAACAAAAATCAAATAGATTTTAATTTTTGTTGTTATTATCAAATAGATTTTAATATTTAGTTGTTGAAAATAAGCTGGAAGTTCCAGGAATGGCCTGCCGGGTTAACTGCATTTTTATTAAATGGGTCGTACTTAAAAGTTGGTCTCCTATAAATTTTAAGAAAAAATTTACCTTTAAGTGAGACAAAGAAGGAATGAAGTTTTTATAGGAATAATATTGAATACTTTATAGTTATAGTAGTACATAAAGTATCACAACTTCAAAGTCGTCTAAATATTAATTTAGACGATATCAATGTTGTCTAGATCACAGTCTCCTTTGGTACCACAACTTCAATTAAGGTTGTGACACTCCTTGGTCCACTCAACATCCTCGTTGTCAAACGGGGAAAAAATTTAGCTTTAATTTTTTCCCCTATGATGCAATCTATGGGAGTTCACCAGTGAAAATGAATAGGCTGTAACAGTAATACTATACAAATAAATAAAATATAAGTGCCTGTTTGTAATTTCAAAATAACAGCTTTTTACTAAATGCATATGAAAGTATATACGGTACTTATAACAAAACACAATGATTTATACGTGGTAGAGCCATGCTGCAGTTATATTAGTAGTATAGTTGTAGCACAAATAGGTCGCCTCGACCGGGGCAAGACCACGCTCTCACAGAATACCAGCGTAAAATAGTAGCTTAGTGCTGTGTTTCGTATGGTGAGTGTAGAGAACCGGAGACCCTTTTTACTGGAAACGAGGCGTTCCATCTTAGTTCTCACGGGTGACAAAGTATCTGCATTTTGGTTTTGCAATGGAGGACGGATGTATATGTCTATGTACCGTAGCAGCCACTTACCATGGGGTGGAATGTGTGCTCGTTCGTCATCCTATCCTATAAAATAAAAATATTATTGACCTTCGTATCTCGAACGTATCATAATCATTGTTTGATCCTGTAATCTCTACAACTCAATACAAATACTCAATACAAATTTACACATAGCGTTTAGCTCCTGAACCGTGTTTGCTCAGAGTTAGCCCCTTAGCGCTCAGTGTAAATTTCACAGTACGCATGCAACCCGGGTTCTATGCACCCCGCCGGCAAAAATGAAATTACAATTTAATTACAATTTAAAGTGTTGATTTACCACGTGCTCGATGGTGAAGTAAAATATCGTGAGGAAACATGCATGTCTGAGAAATAAGAAAAAAA